CCCCGGCACACAGAACCATCAACTAACCAACACTCGTATCGAAGGGAATTCCCATGGAAGATTCTGTCGAAACCTTGCGTTCCCCAAGGAACAAAAAGAGAGATAGCCAGCGCCTTTTATCAGCTTAAGCTAGGCCATGGATACTTCAAATCATACCTACACAAGCTCGGCCACACTACCAACAACCGCTGTAGATGTGGAAGACAAGAGACTCCCACTCACCTCCTTCTTAGCTGTCCAGAAACTGGGGATGCTAGGAAAGTACTAAAGCGCAACCTCCTCAAGCATCATATTCGAGAGTTCACCATGAAATCCCTCCTTCACACCGCCAAAGGAGTCGAGGCCACACTTGACTTTATTCGAACCACCAAAATCGCCACTAGAATATGGCACACACAACGCGCAACTGAGGATGAGAACGAAGATGAGGACGAGGAAGACGAGGACGAGGAAGACGAGAACGAGGAAGTGTAGCGTACAGGGCGTGAAACGCGGGGGCGTACTACAACATAACAACTTTTCTTTTGTCATAACCAGAAGCCTAGCTGCTTCCAACAACCCAAGAACTGTAATGACCATAACCCCCTTCTCAAACATGTATTTATTACAGCTTTACTTATCTGTTGGAGGGAAACCCCCAGCCGTGCTACTATAGTCTCAGACTCACACAGCACGTTAAAAGGAATAATAATAATAATAATAATAATATATGACAGTATCCAGCTTTAACTATCTACCCCCTTTACTTTAGAACTCGGAAAATATTCAAAATAGGCGTAAAAGTGGATTTTTAAGAGATTCAGCCCTAAGTCGGGACCCTTTTATAACACCTGCGGCATTGATTCTCACGGAAATCGGGTGGTTTCCGTCTAGTCTCCGACAACCTTGGGCCTCCGAATCGAGTTCTTACGGTAACTCGAGTAGTGTCGGCCCGACGCCCCGTAGCAAGCTTAGGCTCGCTTACTAGAGCCCGAGTGGTCTGTCTACCAGGTCCGCCCACATAGACTTAGCCGAGTGCCCCTGCCCAGGGCTAATATAGTCTTAAGAAGTAGGAACTGGATCTCTTTATGGTAGTTACGTTTTATATAACTACTAGAGTATACTCGGGCCAATTTAAGTAGTTGATAAGTTTTGGTAATACGCTAGTCTTTATAAATTCATGAATGGTGTAACGAATGGTTCTAGTAGAGTAGCTCGGAAACCCTTTTTATCTTCGAGACTCTATTACAAGGTTATGTGACGAATCTTGGATCATATATAATTCACTGTCGATTAGAGTTTTAACCGCAAGTTCTGCAGTAAACGCTAAAGGCAAATTCCAGAAAGGATTGAACCTACTCTAGCAGTAAGAGCAAACCACGAAGTAATTGATCAAAAAAAGATTTCCTTAAAACAATAACTTTTTATCAGAGTACAAGAAACGGAACCCAAACAATCAATAACATTATGGTTTACCTATTCCATCCCCTTTACCAGTGACTCGAGTCTTAAAGAGGATTATGAAAACAGAACGCCCGAAGAGGACAAAAAGATCGTATCTTAACAAGGAAAAGAAAAAGAGGTTGCGGCTTTGTAGCCCTCAACATTCTAGTAAGCAAGATTCAGCTTTTAGAGAGGGAGGAACAGATCACTTTTGAACAGAGTGTTGAAACATAAGTTATGGCTTTACACTTCAAACAAAATTCAATCTGTATCGCGACTCGCGAGCCAGAAATAGGCGAGGAAATGGGAAAGGAATTCGAGACGGACTAGGAACAAAAGATGGACGATTTGTTGGTGGAGCTTGACGTAATGACGGTGGTAGCGAGAGGGTGATGGTATATTTGATATCTGGGGTCGAAGAGTAAGGAGAAGTGAAAGCATTAGCGATGGGCTGTTCTTCATTCTCCTCGTCAACTGCGTTACACAAGCAGCAGCAACAGCCTCCTTCACCTCGGCAGCTGCCTGTTCTTGGATAAGTCCTCTCTCTTCAACATACTATTGCATTTGGCTTGAAGGGCATCATGCTTGGTCAGTCGGCTATTTGATTAACGCTTTTGGGAGCTGGCCATTGTTAAAAGACCAAACTCTGGATGATCCTCCACCCAATGCCCATTAGTATTAAAAACTGAATAAGAAGAAAGTAAGACGTATTGTCTCAATCACCAATCAGGGCTTTCTTCTGATATCTAGATAATTGAGGAGAAAAGAATAACTATACAGCTTTCCCTAATTTCAACGATTTGGGTGCAGAGCCTCTGAAACTCCAACAGATGGTACACCCAAGGATATGTCTCTTTCCCTCTCCCTCCCCAAGTTTAATGGCAATGCATTAGTGGAAATGATGATTTCCTCAAAGCAAACGTACCCTTACGGCTAAGATTCCTTCTTCCATCGTAGCAAACGGAGCTAATTGTATTTATCAAAAGGCTGGAAATCTTGAAGTCAAGGATTCACTATGATAAAGTCATCTCATCAATAAGTCCATGCAGTAGGTATGCATGTTCTATGAATTTGAGTGCTTCTATAAGGTATCAGAAAATCTCTTTTATCCTTCGAAGTAGAGTCGTATGCACCCATTATATCTCGCACCACCGTGACCACCCATAATCTTTGTCTGGAAATCTTTTATTTGCACATGTAGACGTCCGAGAATAGAGTGTCAACTACTGCTCTACTATACTCAGTACTACCAAAGAAAATACTCGCTTATTTATTCTGAGTATATACAGTGCCTGAAACTCCAAGTCTGACCATCCCGCTGCATCATCCATGGTTTCAGTAGATTTCTGGTCTGGGATAGGTGAAGCTTTGTGTGAAAGGTATCATTAGCGGCAGGCAAATCATCTTTAAAGCAAGCTTCGCTGCCAATGGAGCCAGAAGCTTCGGAATATACTCGTCAGTCGCTATGAAATCAGCAGTACCAGGCACAATGGCTGGATCACTTCATTGGTAATGTATGGCTGCATTCAGTTGTCGTAGGCCAGTTCCGCTAAGAGAAGCACGGGGAAGCCCTTTCGACTATTGACCCCAATTCGACCAGAATTCAGCAATCGATCTTTGTTCCTGAGCGGGATTTTGAAAGATATAAGTAAGAACAGGTGGTAAGTCAGGGAATTTGTAATTGCGAAGACAAGGTAATATTCTGGCACGAATAGCCAGAAACCACCGGTAGAACCAATGATTTGTTCATGGTGATAGAATGGAGATGTCTCCTTGAGTATTGCTTTGGACTTGCGGCAATATCCCTCATATTTGGGCTAATAGCGGCTGATACGGCCTGTTAGTCCCACCGGCCAGCTGGCATGGAACTTTATCACCCATTTCTGGAGTTCATCATCATTCCACCATCATTCCACCATCATTCCACCATCATTCCACCATTATTACACCATCATTCTGGCCAATGCTTTTTAAGTTATTCCAGTTTTCAGGAGCTTGGTCGACTTTTTCGGGCTATCTTGAATATAGACCAAGGTAAACTTGATTGCGGCTTCTGGAAAACCCGGAAAGAAACCTCTCGCTTTGATTGTTCCGTTGCTAGTGCCGTTGTCTCGAGATTGTGCTTGTTTTAGCCGCCGGGCATCGCAACTTTGTACGCATAGTCGACGTAGAAGAGGTTTGATGTAGCGTTATTTTAACGGGCGGGGCTCCTTTTCCAGAGAAGAAGTTGGATTTTAGTCCTTAGACGTGTGTATAGAGTAATGACCAGGTATCTTACTATCACAACCCCTACAGCCACTCCTAGCCAACACGCCCACTATTCTCGTAAAAAAGGACCTGCTAGAGCCGGTTAAAGGCTCTTCATGTTATCTCATTCAAGCACGTCTTTTCAGACTTCTTGTTCAATCCGTGTCCAACGTTGAAATGTAAGATCGTGGTCCAGAAGTACGTGTAGAATATCTGGGATTCTTCCTGTTACCTTTTGGCTGGGACATGAGATAATCGTAATTCGAACGAGACAGTAGCAAGAGTCCGACCCAATTATATATACAAGCGATCCATTAGGTACCAACCATGTCCGTTTCCCATATTTGCGTTACAGGATCTCCTGGCATGCACGAGGTGGCCATGTTAAAATAGCGAGTTTTCACCTCCTTCCTCTTTAAGCATAGCTCATTTAGTAGTCCATATTGCTAGCCGCTTGAGTCCGATGAATAGCAAGCTGGTACTAGTACCCCATTCATTTTCGTACTTGTAACAAAAACCACCGGATCAAGTGGCTTTACGGAAGTATATGGAGGAAATACGTCTTCGGCATATTGTAGCTAACGCATCTGTATGAGTGGGGGACTGTGTGGTGCCTTATACTATTAAACCCTACTCAAACATTAAGAGCAAAGCACTAGATCCGTTAAATACTAAATGCATGAGTGGTATCACATTGGTGCATTTTCATGCGTGGCATATATAAGTGCAATAGGTTTGAATGAAGATAGTACATTCAGAGGCTAGCATCCCTAAACAAGATACCTAACATTTCCAGCTTGTGAAGCGGTCGTCAGTGTCACCAGAATTTCCACCTGTCAAGTTCTTGAGATTGTACTCATAGTCCAAAGTGATTCCTGGGTCATCACCCCTATTATTGCATCCGAGGTACCTGTGTGTCGTAGTGGTTAGCTTTTTAACATTTCCACGAAGTGATTCGGTCCTCATATTCCACAGTTCTGGGATCCTCCTCCAGTGCTACCGCAAGATTGTAGTTGTAGCTGGAGGTGAGTCCCCGATCATCCCCTTTGTCGTTGCACCCTAGATATCTGTAGAAAATCGCAAAAGGAATCAGTTCTGGTATTTACAATTTTTAGAAACGAAATCTTAACAGCGCCACGAGCTGATAGTGTTTCGTAACCTGCACTGTAATCCGGATCTTCTGATGCCACTGCGAGGTTGAACAGATATGAAAGTGTCACTCCGGGTCTGTCCCCTCTGTCCAAGCATCACATGTATCGTGACATGGTGTGGATTAGGACGTGGATGGAGGAATGTAGCGTCTAAACAAAAACCCACTTACTGATAGAATTGACATTTTCCGCCAGTGTTGGTTGAAAGAGATGAGACGTTGTTATTGTAAATGCCGGAGATCATAGTCGAGTTGAAAGGATTGAAGTCATCGTAGTCAACTTTTAGCACGTCAGCATCGCTGCATGATTCTTGGGACGAATGACTCTTACCGCATCGACCTGGTCTTGCTCCAAATACAATGCAATTTCCGCGGAAACCAGCATCTGTGCACTGGAGAACGAAAATCAAGGGCGGAGTGACAATTGGGCGATTTGGGTCCGGTTCAAACGTGTTGTTCTCCTGGCGCTTGCCGAGCTCAGTGGCAACAAAGTTTGGAACACGCTGATCGTTGAAGAGACTGGGAAGTAACGTTAATTCTAGAAATGCAAAGTAGTTCCTTTCCTTTGATGGGATTCTTACTCGCTTCCAGGTCTGCCAGTGAGCTTCTCAGCAACATTGATTTTATCGGTGTAGACTGTTGAGCGCTTTTGGACCATCTCCTTTGTCGGCGATGCCATAATAGCTGGAGCGGCAAGAGCGAGGGCTGCGATGACTGAATACTTCATGATGATAGTGGTGGTTGGGAATGAGTGTGATAGAAAAACGAGTGTTGACCGACAAAGGTGCTGGTGATAGAATTCAGTTGGGGACATTTGCTCTCTTCTTATATTTTCACTGCACCAGCAAGCACGAGGGTTAAGAGTTAAGCGAGATAACAAAATCAATCAAGTAAAGCCAAGGAGGTGTAAAACCTAAAGAGAAGACTCGCCGGGATATTGTGGGCTTACGTAGAACTCCGTATATTAAAAGTCATATCTTTACCTTCTTGTAAAGAGGGCATATTAGCAAATGGGAGGGCTAGAACACCTCCAAAAGCCTCTGCAGCTCAACAATTATAATTATAAACTGAATATCCCAGACCGATGAATTAGTTCATTTCACTCAATCACTATAAGCCCGACCTTTAACATGTCCTCCTTTATTCCATATTGAATGAAACTTTAGGACTTCAAGGACAATGTTTCCTATTTTAGAGTATCTCCAAAATTCTCCGTCGTTTTAATTACAGACCGAACTGGTTGGGTAGTGTAATTTCAACATGGTGCATGAAACATCTTGGGAAGGATTGCCTAGAGTGTTTTGTGATTTGAATAAACACGGCTACGACATGCCCATCCGTTCATTCCGGTTGCCGGGTTGTTTCCTGTTTTGAGTTTAGTCATCCCAGCTCGGAAACCTTATCCCTCCGAAAACTAGTAATTAATTGCTCTGAAATACGCTCCGTACGAGTACTGCCGTGTAGAGTTCAATTACGCCAACTCACTCTTGGACGAACTTTCGTCCAGTTTTTCACTCCCAGCAGTCAGATGGGAGTGCGGAACACAACTTGGAAGGTGTATATGTATTATGGAATAAGCGGTTTGCAGATGTTCTTCGGGACATTTGGTACCATGGAATCAAAATGACGTTACAAAATCAAGACTCGTTCTCCGGCGTCGCACTCTGACTTTGCCTTACGAGGTAGAGAACTACAAGCGACAGTCGACTCTGCCGACAGGGATGTGGGAACTTTCCTCCAGCCTTCGATTCGCCAACCCTCTCTAATCGTCATACGAGAAGGTACCCCTTATCGAATTCGGACGGTACTCAACATTCTAGAATTCGTCCTTACGTCACTTCCTACAATAGATACATAGAAGCGTTGTTACCATAGTGGGTGTTTTGAGATTATCCATCCACCATATCTAACCACAAGAATGGTTCGCTTAATTAACGAATAGGGCATCAATAAAATAAAATTCTCTTGAACTGCCAAGTGCATTTCTCTTGATTCATCTCGGCTTTTAAACGTATGTTGCTAAACCAATATCTTTTGAAGTCCAGTTGGTGCTGTTGAAAGAAATTAAGACCTTGAGGCCCCACGTACAGCACGTTCACGTGCCTACGTCAATGTCAAGTCAGGTGACACAAACATGCTGAGGTCGCATGAGATGAGATAGGTGAGACGGCAAACTATCTATCACCACATAGTTATAAATGTTCAATTTTAAGGGCCGGCCATCAATCATCCCCGCTTCGATCTCAATCACACTCGCAGCGAGACTGATTGTAAATTATCGCCGAAGGCAGTGTGTGTTCCTCTGATCCTTGCATTCTCCGATGACGTAGTTGACTCCAATGCCTTTCTCCATGCTAACCCATATTTCGTTGCAACAACAGATTTACAATATAAAATCCAGTCAGCACACGTGGTAGAATCTCCCAAAATGTCATGGATGGACTCTTGGTCTCGTCCTTCCAAAAATCAAGCAACTCCACCACCCTACTACCTCCTACCAGGTGGCGACAAAGTCCAATACTGCAAGTCGTGTGGACGGTTGATCGGTAATTTTTCAAAAAGAACATCTTCAACATCTAGCGCTTGACCCTGATATGCATATAGGCGATCGTAAACAGAAATCATCCTCGACTCCCGCCAAATATTGCTCTGCCCGATGTCGTTCTGCCAGGCACAACAACCTCCTTGAACTAGAGATAGAAAAAACATTCGTCTCGCTACTCAATGGTGAAACTCTATCTCCAAAACTTGAAGAAAACCATGCGTCATCAAAGCTTTCTATGCCCCCTTACAAAGGCGGCCCCGCACCTAAATCCGCGAAGAAGAGGAAGAAAGGCGAGTCGAGAATTCTGGTCCTTTGTAGCGAAGTAGAAACCCTCATTTTTGGAGATAGGAATGATCCCGATAAGTGCTTTGGGAGGAGAAGAAATCGAAAGAGGAGAGGGGTTGAGGATGGAGAATGGAGAAGTGTTGACATGGTAAGCGATGAAGAGAAAGATAAAACAGGGGATATCAGTAACGATGTCAAAAATGGCTCAATTGGGAAGGCAAAGACCGAAAGTCAACCAAATGAGGATGTTTCATCAAGCGATAGCGAAGATGATGGCGGGGCATTGATTGATATGCCCCGCAGCTCAACGGAAACCACACTGGATCCCGACGTCATGGCAAGACTTTCGATTCGTTCAGGAACACGAATAAGGCGTTCTCAAGAAACAGCTTTAGTCAATGGAAGTATTGGAGGTGAAAAAGGGTTGAAGGAAAGAATATCAGAGACCGATGATATGCTTCTCAAGAGAAGAGAAGGGCAGCGGAAGGCAGACGAAAGAGAACTAGTTAGATGTGCTGCAAGAAGGGGCGTTGCATTTGGCTTCTTGACTGGCGCCGGAGAGGAGCGCAAGATGTGCGAAGCTATCATGCAAGGGAATGTTGTCGAGAGTAGTTTTGCCAAAGGAGAGTGGGGAGTCAGATGGAGGGAATGAATGTATGTTTCATTTTTGGAAGGTGTTATTTTTTGTTGCAACTCGAGTAATTAGGCATTGATCCCTAATTTATTCACAGAGGAAGTATATTGGGAGTTGAAGAAATCTAGAAGTGCCTATTTTGCCCTCCCAAGGATTCTCAACGATTGAAATTGCCCGAAGTGAGAGCTAATAGTTACTGTAGTAAACGTCCACCACGTCTGTCCACCTATCTCAAGCGATTGAGCAGATAGGAGGACACACTAGCCATTATGTAGCTTACTTCATGCAGACCTTCCCCACTTGGCTCGTTTTACGTCATACTTGCAATGTGAAACTTAGACTTTGTCTAGAAGCGGAGGCCTGGAATAGTTTGACCGTGGGGTAGAAGTTCCTGTGTTGCCCTCATTAAGATTCAAACGTTCACAATTATTGAGTACGAGCCTTTGGTAGGTACGTGCTTGCACGCATACACCTCGTACTCCCCGACTACTTTGGACCTTACTGTTGAGTTTTTACGGTAGTATGCCCATCTCTTAAACCGCTCATGGTTTTTTTTCACGTAGATCAAGGACATGCACGACTTTTTAGTTTAAATTTTGGTGTGAAAATAACGGGGTGCTAATAATTCCCTGTTAGAAAAACCTCCGGGCGGTTTAGGAGATAGCCGTTCTAGCATTAGGTTGTTTGTACGTAACCTATCTTCGTATTTCGCACCAAACCCCGAAGCCAACTCCTTTTGAACACCAATGGAATGACGAGATTCAAAAAAGACCAAAGCAAGAGTCTTTAATCGAAGAGAGCCCTTCAATAAGGACTACTTATTTATATGCTGGTCAAGGTTTGAAAGAAACAACGAACTACTTAACTTGATTGCCTGCGTGCAACTATAAATAGTACGTAAAGGGGCTAACCGCCCGAGGTGTCACCCGGGTGCCTGGATATGCTACGGGGACTCGGGCCGATTTATTTCGCACTTCTCAAATAGTAGTTAGGTTAATGGTATTATAGTAACAAATACTACTCTCTGTGGGGGTTGTGGCCGAAGAAGTCGGATTTTTCCATTACTAAAACGGGGGAGATAGAAGTCGGAATCTTTACTAGTAACGACTTTGTCGTCCCCTTCTTAATAACGCGGGAGCTAAATAAAGTGTATAAAACCTTCCTCCTATACGACTTTCTTGAATGCTATAGGGGTTATAAAAGTTATACCCCTTTCATTTACTTATTTACCTATTTTACTAAATTATCATCTATCTACTCATCATAAGAAATGTCCACCTACCTAGGTGGATAAAGAAAATGGGAATTAAGAAGAGAGAAAAGCGGAGGAAAAGGAAAAGGGAAGGTATAAAAGTAATGAAATTAATGGTTCTATTACTTTTCACTTTCCACCAACTTAAGTGTACTCAGACAATCAATTTACTTATTTTAGACTCTTAGTATAACAAAACTCTATAGTTCGTAAAAGGTAATGGCCTGGTCTTCAATATAGCGGTATCAGCACTGTATGAAGCTAAGCAAATTGCATACTTCAGGTTAACTGGGATCATGATCTCAGTATGAGACTCGACCTCCAGTTACCTCGAATTGTCTACGTAATACGAGTTATCAGACTCGCGCGACTCCGAGAAATCATATAACTTGAACCGAGATTGCGGCGTATCCTGTTGGTACTGCATGAGGATATGCTTTCGTAGGATGTTACGGTCCACGTAGTCTTCTCATTCCTAGTTTTACATGTGAAGATCTACACAATGATATCAGAGCTTCCTTTAGAACTTGAAGACTGATGCAAGAGATTCTCATTCGACTACAAAGGTTAACCAGGATGTTTTAGAGTTATAAAAACTTCCAAAGAGAATAATGGGTACGAGAAATCCAGGACGATATCTCTTTCATTGACGGATAATTACTTGAGAATTTCTCCTGCGTAGCGATGCGTAGAAAGCACCCGAGAACATAACATGAGGTTATCGAACCGTAAATCGCGGGATCGGGAGGTGCATGTTAGGAGCAACCGAAGAGACTCTTCAATTGATTTTCTGAAAAGCACATTTATCTAGGAGAAATTAAAAATGATCTAAAGAAGCGCACTGAGAGTCGACGTGACCTCTCCCTGGAATGAAACCACCAGTTTTGTGGATTGGATGGGGGATACAAAGTCGCTAGCCGAGGGACACACCTATGATTAACCAGATAATGCGTGGCAAACATGGGACGAACACGTCCCTTTTGCCTATTTCGATGACCATACACAGAATATACCACAAGAAGACCGGGAGCTAAGGACTGGGAATTTCTCATCAGTTGCTCGGACCATTTTCATGCAGCACTCATGCGGTCCTCTTTCCTGTTGTGGTATTTATCGTCCGCATCTGGACACCGCATCTCGATTCTGGATCCATTCTATGTTCAATCCCGCACTCTCCCGGTCCAAGTCAATTGCAGATAGGTTTCAGTATGCGGGGAATGGGCCTTGCGGTGGAGATATAGGGCTACTCTATCAAACTCTAATTTTCTGACAGCTTCCTTCATATCTTTTGTTCACACATCTTTGTCTCTTATAATGTTAATTTCTAATTTCTCCCTCGCAGCAGCTTTAAATTTGGTGGCACTAGGTCAAGCTAGTATCGATGTTACGAGTCTACTGATTAGACTGCCTTCATGTAGTGTGAGTAAAATTTCCAAGCCAGGTGTTCGACTTTCAACCATGGTTGACAAACTTCGTAGCTATCCTGTTCCAGTGTGATCCTAGAGGGCGGATGCTCGATCAATAGCGAGCTACCACAATGCTTGTGCACAAATACAACTCTACAATTTGATCTTGGTTCGTGTTTACTACAATCTTGTAACACAACCGAGGTGGCAGGTAGGTCAATTGATTATACCGCACCTTCAATACTAACTTGAACAGCTGCTTCCTCATTGTTCCAGCAGAATGTTTGTGTGGGATTCCACAAAGAATCTCGAAGTGAAGATATCATCGTACTTACAATTGCTGCTGCCTCTGTCACTGGCTTCTTCGTTGTCTTGCGACTTATTTCGAGACGAATGGTTACGAATACTATTCATTCGGATGATTGGGCGTTCATATTGGCGGCGGTAGGTGAAATTTGTAACTCGTGCCAGAAGTTCTCTAATGTCATCTAGGTTCTTATGGTGCCGACTGCAACCATTTGTGCATTTAGTATGTTCCGTCGTCCATGTTATGGTGTCGTTGTCACTCATCGCTCCAAACAGATGCATCTCATGGCTTTGGGCAACATTTCTGGGATGTACCTCCCGAAAATATCACTCTGCTTCGCAAGGTAAGTACCCTATTGTGTCTGGGGGATCTTACACAGATCTGGAAGAACCCATGCAGAATCCGACGTTCATGCTAATGATGACGCAGCTATACTATGTCTCCCAAATAATCTATATTCTTAACTTGGCAACTTGCAAATTCGCAATCCTTCTTCTATACCATCGCATTTTTACCAGTGCCAGATTTCGCGTGGGTCTATGGATTGCAATTTCAATGATGATACTCCACCACTTTACTTTTACCATGGTTGTTGTATTTCAATGTAACCCAATCAAGACGTATGAGCTTCTGTGCAAATTGTGCATTTATGAGCTAATTCTATGTCTAGTGTATGGAGTCCTGAAGTTCCTGGAAAATGCTTAAATACCGTCGCAATAATCTACGCGGGTGCGGCCTTTAACATTATTGAAGACATCATCATAATGGCACTTCCTGTTGCGGAGTTAACATCTTTGAAGTTGGATACAAGGAAAAGAATCGCTTTGGGGTTTTTATTTGCCTCGGGCTCTGCGTAAGTATGAGACCAAAGAGAATGGTACACATGACTGATCCGTCCTAGGGCATGTATCACAAGTATAGTTCGATTGAAATTTATTATAACTTATGGTAACACTGTCGACTCGACATGTAGGTTGTCTCGTGTCTATTCTCAATATAGCGCTAATAAGCTGTTAGGGGATAATGTCGACGTCGTTCTCTGGTCAACGATAGAGATTTACGCAGCTCTCATTTGCGCCTGTTTTATCTGTCTTCGGCCCCTTGCTGCAAAACTTCTGCCGGTTCTTTTCAGATCTCAACATACAGCAATCAGCCGTGAAACTCCGTTTTCTGATGAGAGCAACAAGTTACGGACCGGTATTGCTGAAAAGTTGTATCGTGGAAATTTCGGGATCAGATTATCTGATTCGGACATGCGAACTTCCAACTTCGATACTCAGCAGTCCCATATCGATCGATTGGAAAGAGAAGATATGCATTCTGCCAACATTGAGTTGGGAGAGTATAAGGGCACGATAGTCTCTTCGCAACCTTTGGGGGTTCCTGGGTCGTGAAAAAAGGTTGAAGGGGGATGAATTACTAATACCCAATGCATCTTCCATACCCTAACTATTCGATCCCTCTTTCAGAGCGAGTGATTCAACTAGAAACTTTTAGAGAAAGGAAAGAGATAATCTTATTCGCTGTCAAGAAGCTTGCGTTCTTTTACCTCCATAAATGAGAGCTGAATACGAAACATTTCACCCATCAGACTTTGGCAAAGTCCTTTGTATCCAACTTATTCCCTTCGCTAAAGATTTCATCCGCCTGATCTTCCAATGTCTTTGGCGGACGTCCCAGAATATCCCCCAAAGACGGGTCTACATAATCAGCTTCACCAAGCTCCCAAGCTTTATGCATGGTCACCCAGTTTGACAGAAAGCTTTCTTGCCCCGGTGGCAAAATTTTGTGTTTGATATGATATTTGATCACCTCGTCAACTGGAAGAACGCGAAAATTGACTCTTTTGCCTGTGTGAGCGACGTAAAGATCAATGATCTGACGCATGGTATATGTACGTTGACCTGTCAAAGTCACAGTTTTGTTAATGTAATTTTCCTATTGGTGGTAAACGTCAGCGAGAATTAGAAAGGCTCCACGATAAGATAAATAGCATACCCAGTTTCCAACAATTCTCCCCGTCGCAATGCCCAATTCCTCCCTATTCACCCAAGCGTTTAGTCCATCTCCTGGAATAACCGCTTCTTGCACTTCATCAATGGGACCATCCAGCTTCAAAAACCCCGCCATATTACTCCACAGATGTGCATAGGTTCCCTCTCGAACAATGGTCCAAGTCAATCCACTTTGCTTCAAATATTACACAGTCTTAATATGTGCTTGCAAGACACCGGCAACACTCGGCTCATCCCCCACTAGTCCTCCCCATGTCAAAGAAGTGTAAATAACATGTTTTACACCTACTTTCTTTGCTGCGTCTATCGCAGTACGATGAAGGGCAAAGCGTTCCTCGCTTACTGAAGGGTACCAGACGAGAAACAGAGCATCGGCACCAGCATAAGATTTCAATATGTCGACGAGTCGGTAAGATTTCCATGGCGAATCTCTATGCCAGCGTCTTTGGCTACCCTGGGGATAGAATCTGTGTTGTACGCGGAAATGATGAGATCCTTTGGTGCAATGAGGTTCTCAGATAAAATCGTTTCAAGAGTCGGTTTTCCCAGGCCACCGGATGTCCCTAAAATATAATCTCGCATCAGTTGGTGATCAGGATAAAGCATCAATTGTCTGACCTGTGAGTACAAGCATATTTTGTGCTTGTTGAAAAGGCTTGTATGTAGTAGAAAAGTTGCGGCGAATATTTCCTTGACGCCTGCGAATCTGTGCTTGGATTTCAACAGCAATTGCAATTTTTGCTGTAGGTATATACATTTACTGAGCCTGTACCACATAGGTGAGCCTCTGGCTGCAGTGGTTGCTATTCGCCCTCGCGCCCGTCAAGCAGACCCACCAGTTGCCGAAACGGGTAATCCTCACTCTATTTATCATTAATAAGCGCATTACTTATCAATTTTTCGTTGCGGTATTTCAAATTCGCCATCCCATTTTGAGTAAATAAATTTATTTATTTTGCGTACTTTGCGTCTTTTGTGCTGCAAATATTGGTTGCTCGCCGAATAACAACGTTCCTATTGCCATGGCCAACCGATTCACAGATATCGCCGAATCTCTAGCTCCGAAACCAACACCGATCGGCTTTTCATGAATACATAAAACGAATTGATGGTTGAAAATACGAGTAAGATTTGTTACAAAACTAGTTTGCTTGTTTCTTCCTCTCAGCGCCAGTGTCTTCCAATGCGATATTTACAAAGAGCGAGCCTCATTTTCCTCAACTGCGTATTTCTCCCGGTAATCTTACTATATTAACCCTCCAATGACGGTGACTGGGCAATCAGACACGGCTAGAACTTCCGTTATTGAGGGCCGGACATTATTTCAAACCTCATAGTCGCTTTTACAGTGACAGGTTGCGGGGTAAACGCCCGAGTATATATATAAGTGTGTGTGCAGAGGCCAGGGACACTGCATTATAGTAACTGTAATACTAGCGGAGTCCGAATATTTTCAAGTAGCTCTCTCAAAACATCCTCATAGAATGGTCTAGCTAGCAATTGTCCTGCCTACCATACAATAATACATCAAATCTCCTATGATATCGATATAAGAGACCTGGTCATCACCATATACATATCCAACTTGGCAACTTACTATTGTGTGATTCCAAAAGCCCTCGCACAACTAAAATACTTGTATAAATCGGTTAGATTTGGTAAATTTCACTTTTTATTAATATAAATATACTAAGTCAATTAAGTCACTTGCGTTAGACGTTTAGTAAAATAATCTTTTACAGTATGTAAATAGTAATGACCAGGTTCTTTACTCACCTAGTTTACAGTAATCTTATTCTAAGAGCCTCGCACAACTTGAATAGTTATACGAGTGATTTGGGATGATCAAAATTGCCAGATCTTTGTCAATCTAAGTGATTGGAGACAATCAAGTGAATTGTTTAGGAAGTCTAGCACAATAGATTTCTAGAATTTGTGAGATCTTACAGAGTATAGACATGTATCTTACCTTTTCATTTAATTCGGTCTGTGATATACAGGCTTTGAGTTCTTCCGTAAATAATTTGTAGATCAAAGGATATAGTTTGTATAACGCTAAATGACTTTGTACGTAACTCTCATCGGTGTCTTCTTCGCACGGCTTATTTCTTCGTCAGATGTAACATTTTTCAATTCGTACAGACTTTGGATTGCTCTCACCACCTGATTTCTCAACTAACAGTTCTCTAAATAACACCGGTAAAAAAGAAAATACTCACCACTCCCCGAATCCGTTGATCACATCTCTCACCGTACCAGCAGGTCGGTAGCCCAGCATATCCTCGTAACATATCACGACGTCAAAACTCGGGATATTCTTTGCCTAATGATACATCAGCGAGCGGTGACGGCGGGTTGGCATAAATACCAAAGCCCATCCCGAATTTTGCAAATCCAAGAATTTCAAAAACACCTTCCCCATCTGCCTAAAGTCCTCTCCCAAGACCAAACCACCCAAAATGCAACTCAAAGCCCTCCTCCTCCTCACCCTCGCCTCACTAGCAGTCTCAACCCCAACTCCAGTCGAATCAGGGACCGAAACCTCCGCAGCACGATGTGGATATCCAAACGGGAATTGCTATGAAAACGGTTGTGACGGGAAACCCTCTACTCTCAGGTGTTCCTCTGTAGGTTCAATAACTCAATGCTATTTCTTGGCCGATATCTTCTAACGTGGAATCTCATAGGGGCCGTACGCAGGCTGCGAGTGTGGCTATAACTGTGGATCCAACGTAGGCTCATGTTACGAAAATGGGTGCGAAGGCGTTGATGGACGTTGCACTGGGGCGTATCTTGGGTGTAACTGTCGCTGATTTTTGGAGGGGCTTGGGGTGACTTTTTTGAGATGATATGTTACGATGTGTTGGGAGCTGAGTGCTGTGGCTGGTTGTGTTTGGTTGGGTTGGGTCGAAACTTGGAGGGTATTACACTCATTCGTGATAATCAATATACGAGAGATGGTGGGTTAGCCTGAGTCGAAAGCTACTGTAACACTCTTTTGTTATTTGTCATTTATATGAACACTTGGTGTAAAGATACATACGCAAGTCTCCACAACTTGAATGATTGAAGACACTGTCGAATGGCCAGATGGCTTTGATTTACTTGTCATGCCACATGGAAACGCCGCGCTGATTCAAGAGCAGATGGCAAACTGGCAGATACAGAATCTCAGATTTTAGGAAAGTCATTTAACAAATATTCTGAACAACAATCAAGACACAAGTTCCCACACTTCTTTCCTCAAAACGACACGATCCTTCATTCAGAAGACGTTACGAAATTGTTTTCCTCATGTAAGTAAGCCGTTACAATGGTGTACGAGTAGTTCAAGACTCGGCAGTCAACAACCTAGTGGTGAAACTATCAACCGTTGGTGTACTACCCCAAGATAAGAATACGAGCGCAACCGGGGGGGTCACAAGAACGAACAAGGCCAGAAGATCAAGCCGAAGAATAAAACTTGGGAGGAACTACATGTATAGACCGAGTGAACAGATGGACCTCCATGATTTGGGTGACAAGCAAAGACGGGTCAGCATTGTGTCAGAGCGACGCAACGATCCAAGGAGTTTGTTTTATCTTCAGGATTGACAAGTTAGGAGGTGCTCTGGGTTTAATGTTACCTCCCGAAAGATCTCAAACTAGGCTCAGTACCGCAAGGCTTGCTGGTTGAAAGCAAACATCTGGACACCTTCCACAATCATCTATCATCACTCTGTGAATCTCCCTGAATAATTTGAAAAGCTCCTTGGACCACTCCAAATGTTGAGCTTTTCTTCCTTGTTCGTTCCGGTTCCGGTTCCGAGTCTTGAGCAAGAATACTCTCAACCTTGGAGACCTTTTCGGAGAAATGTTGTTTCTTATCGGTCCTTTATATTCCATCAGCTTCGGAAAGAAACAAAAGAGAACGTGAGTCTCGGAAGATGAAGCTTACCTAGTTCCCACTCGAATATCACTCTGAACCCTCAAAGTCCCATTTTCGTGAACGAGTGTATGTGCCTGACCAATAACACGCATGACATCTTCCCATGAGCCCTCTACAAGCGATGATTTGTCAGGCGATTCATCCTCAAAACCCGACGTACAGCGTGGGAGTACAATGAAGTGAGATTCCACATCATACCAACGGTCGTTCCAGCACTATGCATGGAATAGTCCAACCCACTAGCCTTCATAAGTCTCTGCACAGCAGCAATCTCACTCGACACGGATGCGGTGGGTGTACCAATCTACTCATCGTCAGCAAAACCACTCTCAATCTCCTACCACAGAACCGAGGGAAGATTCGTGGAGTTACAACATGAGCCACAACATCGGGTTCCACCAGCTTAACGTGGCGGGGTAACGGGTGGTGGGTAGGATGGTGGGAAAAATTAAGCCTCACTCACCGGAATTAGGCAAAAGTCTGCCACGCAAGCAGGCGGTGTTGAGAGATTGGCGTAATCGGCTTTGAATTTGTTCGTCGCCATGATCGGAAAACTGAATATTGGATGTTCAAGATGTCAACGATGGTAGGTACATAGGGTGACGGCGAAGTTTTGGGGCTTCGTGGTGGGGTGGAATTGCCAAGACTTGAGAGTGGATATGGTTTGCTCCTGACATCACTCACGGATGATATGGTTTCGGTTTCCTCTTGACATCGCCTCTACTAGACAAAAGAAAATAGTACTCGTAGAGGATCTCCTTTTTATTAAAGGGGTTCACCTGAAATATTTCAGTATCCTAGTGATTTGCTTATACAGCAATGAAAACAATTGACCGAAAATCTACGGACAATAAATGCATATGTCCGAAAACATATTGAACAATCAAGTATTATAAGCCAACTTACGCTAATAGAAGGAAACGAAACCCCCCTGGTTTTCTTGTTCACTAGAAGATCAATGACAGAAGAGGGTAAGTATTAAGTTGGGGCACATGAAATATATCAAAATATTGCTTTACGAATCTAGAATGAATGTTGTTACTAAAATATAGAGTATGAAGGTTCTAAGTCCTTGACTATATTGGAAGAGAGTTATTTAGCATAGAAGCTTATGTCTAACAGAGAGTATATGCATTCATCTATGGTGAGAGTCTAGATTTAGTTCATGGTAGTATAAAAGATATTGCACGGTTCAATGATCTTTCAACAAAAAGACTTCTTATTTTTACGTAACACAATGGATTATCAAGAATTTAAACCTGTTTGTCAGAAAGTATTTTTCATTAAAGTATACATGTCGTGATCTTTCTGTCTAAGAACCAATCCAAAATGTTAAAATATATCATCCAATTTTGACCTGTGATCCCCTATTATCCAAACCTTGTAAATGCCCATACCAACGCCTCGCTATGCCCATGAATACAAAAACCCCTCACATCCACACAAAATTTCCAATCGCAATGACCCCCATCGCACTCCCCGCAATACCAAACCAGCTCCGGCCATTCTGTATCGATCCACCGCTCTTCGACGATGCGGTCAACACATCTGTGCTCACATCCGTTCTCCCAACAGCCCTAATACCATTCAGATTATCTGCCACAGCCATCGCCGGACCGACATTAAAGAAGTTCACCAGTATGAAAGTTGGCTTGACGCCCCATTCCGTCATACACTGTGACCCTTGCGTGCCGAGCGCACCAGAGACACTAGTCGAGGGTCCATTCACAATTGTCAGGTTCCCGACATCTGGAACTGTAATTCCCAGTCCTTGATCAGTATCTAGGAAATGATTCAACATTCCCATATATCCCGCTGATAGTGCGGTGGTAGCAGATCTTTGTGTGCTAGGTCTATCCAGGGTGCAATTGAACCCATTGATATCCAATACTCCAAAAGCAGTTTCGAACACGTAGTTGAATTCGGGTAGGAGGTATGGGTAGGTGGTATCGTAATCGATGCTCGCGATGAAAGTTATTAATCGAGTTTTGGCTGCAATGAGGGTCTGTAATGTAGGCCAAGTAGTTGCGGCAGAGGTCGAAGCTGGGGTGTAGCCATAAGTAGAAATTCCGGAAGACGCAAAGAGACTCCCAAATGTTGCTGCTGGTTGGTTATCCGAGTTGACCAGAATTATTGTGACCACCTCATTCACGTTTGCGTCCATCCATGACTTGATTTGACCCAACCAATCTACAAGCAGCCCTGCATCTAGAAGGCCACATGTGGTATGGCAGAGTCGTAATACTCCATTCTCGAGATGAACTTGTGCTTGTAGTAATCGAATACCGGCCGATAGGGCTACCGATGCATTGTAAAATTGGTTGCCGGCTGTGGAAAAAGATGTAGCACTGTCTCGTAGGAAAGCAGAATTATGAGCTCCCATATGTGTAATGTTGTTGTAATTTCGGTTACATAGATCTGGGGAGTTATTGCATGCTGTTGTTCCTGTTGCAGCAGGCGCCAAAGAGATAGGGGCTCGCGTAGGCGTGTTTGATGATGCAGGTCTCGATGGGATTGCCTGTGGAATAGCTTGTACAAATCCCGCAAGGGAGAGGAGGGCTGTTGAGATAGAGAGGAGCGGAAGAAGCATCGTGGCGAGGGTAGGAAATGGAATTTGACCTCGATATCTAGCACTTTCTGCTTAAGAGATGCGAGTAGTATAAACTTGTTATATCGATTGAAAAAGGAAGAGATGATAATTGCTCAACGCAAGCTTTTTTGATACAGAAAGAAATGGAAAAACCAAGGAGATGGATGAGAATAAAGAAAGACGACCATGATGGTTTCAAACACTGGTTCAAGCTTCTCCATCCTTCCAGCCTCACACTCAAGAACGTTACGACATAGCCCTGGCTTGGGCCCCGCCCAGTGTCTGGTAAAAAACGATTGGCGGTCCAAGTACGTGACGACGCAGCTAAACCCACTGCGCCTCGACGCCTCGATTATTGCCCTGAACGTTGGTCTTCCTCGCGTAACGCGAGTCGTCAACGAAAAGTGGAGAATAAGCTGAAATAAGAGGCCACAGTATCAGAAAATCAGAAACCAACAAACGAGAGGCTTTCGAATACGATTTCGATGGACTGGAGACGATTGGCCAAAGATTCAAAGTAGAGCGAGTGTCAAGGCAAGTCTCCCGAGCGGGTGGCTGGTGCGGTGGGGCAGTGGCGGGAGCATCCTCGATCGACGACCCGCCTCCGGAGCTTGGCGATGCTATTTTTGGGATTTTGTTGTGTCAGATTACGACGACAAAAAAACTTCTGCTAACCATAGTTTGTTGATCTTAAATGTTTGGAATAGGTTAAAGAGACTTGTCGAAGCCAACTTGAGTAAGATTCTTCTTAATATATGAGTGTAAGATCGAGATAAGTTCTGCCTGGAATTAGTATCCAACATGTTCCCTTTTAAAGTAGTTTTCAATTAGCTTTATGAAATTAAGGTAAGGTTATAGTAACAAGGATTAGAATACGTTTCTTTTTTATTAAAAGTATTTTTTCTTAAGGCTTATATAACCCAAATGGCCGTAAAGTTAAGAGCGTAACGACATAGTAGTTTCAAAGCTAATATCGTTAAGTTATTAGCCTTCCTTTATAATACCAACTATTTAAAAGAACAAGAAATACAAGGTTATATATAATACTAACAATATTAGTAATTCTTATTATTCTATCCCTCTTCCTAATATGAAGTTCAGTTTCCCTACTAGCGTTTCTTTCTTTAATACTTAAACATTATAAACTATAAACTTACAAATTCCATGTTTACTTTAATACGACCTAGAAAATACGTTCCATATTTATTCTTCTTCCTTGAGACTACGAGATATATTCACAGCCGACCATTTACATACCAATTACTCGAGAAGTAGCGCCTCTCTCTAACCTCATCAGACCACGCACTAGTTGTTAAGCAACTCGTTAATCTTTTGCTCATCTAGTTTCCTAGAGTCGCGTGATGAGAGATAATCTTATTGTTTATCTGAACCACTTCTCTGATCTGAACCACTTCTCTGATCTGAACCACTTCTCTGATCTGTTCAACTTCTCTGATCTGTACCCGAAATTGTTAAGATTACATCGTATAGAGATGAGGAAGTGGAATAATATGAAGTGGTTATATAGTATGATTTTATTTTATTTTCTTGCTGGTTTGGATCGAAGGGAAGGGAGAAGTGATTTCCGGGGGCCATGCGGTAGTAAGCTATATCAAGGCGAGCGAGGTGTTAGTAATTACGAATCAGAAGCTTGGATAGGAGTTGCAGTATAGTACAGTACAGTACAACCACACAATTTCTCCGAAAGTAAGTGTTGAGGAGGATTAAGCATCCGGTATCCCACATCTTGCTCAGACTCCGATGTGTAAAATACCCGAGATTATTTTGTACTCTTACCCGTCCTCGGAAACAGAGTGGTAGCGCGATTTCGTTTCCTCGCTTTCTTTTAGCGAGAATACTTTCAGGGTTCCATGTCATGCGCTAGTAAGCTATATCAAGATTTTTCTATGAAGAATGAAGAAGTATGGACAGGAGGTGTAGTACAGTACAATACAATACTTCCGCTTCTTCAGTCTGGTTGGGCATATTACGCTTACTCATCGCCACTCCAAACAGATTCCGTCGACTCACCCTGCGAGTCATCGTTTCACTGGTCGGGACTCGTATTGGTTTCCAGAATCGTCCGCTGGCAAAAAGGTGGCTGGATGACGATTTTCTGTGGTAAGTATACCTTGGGCGAAATGCGGGAATGCCCAACCTGATCTGCAAGAAATGCCTTGTTTGGATGAAGCTTCCCGTCTACATGGGTTTCTTTCGATGATTAGCTACTCTTGGTGTGGAGGTTATGTTGATGCCTTGTCTGTGTGTTGGGGCAATATTAATCTCGTTTAGTAAATACGCTTAAGGTAATGGAGTATATGTCTCTGAAATATAAGAATTTTGTGATGCTTTGATTAAACAGCTCAAGTAGTACTCAAGTACTGCTTAAGTAGAGTTACTTAGGGTAATGTAGTAGGTGAAACCATTTTAGTATTAGTAAGTACTGTTGTATATTATAGTCCTTTTTTCCAAGCAAAAAAGCAATCTCAGTTCACAATTAGCCAGGTACGAAACAGCTACCAGTACAGTAATTCAATAACAACCCACCTCTCTTACTCAAGCATTCATAATCAAGCATTCATAATCAAGCGTTAATAAATTATAATTCCGTAGAAAGAAAAATTATATATTGGTTCCATTATATCCCTGATTTTGGGGGGGGGGCTACGGTAGGAGGGATTTATTAAAGTTGGGAAGAAAAACGAGTACGTTGTAAGGATATCCTGTACAGGATATGAGGGGAGAGGGGAAACAAATTACCTATACAATTTGTTAACGCGTGACGCGTCCATGAAACGCCCAAGCGAAGAGGGGGAATCTTGTTAGATTAACAATTATCTACATGATTCATTATCATCATCAAAAAGAAAAAGAAAAGAAGAAAAAAAATCACGAAAAAAGAAAGGAGTTTGAATAATATAAATGTCAAACTAATATTTGATGTCTCGTATATGTGGCACATACATATGTACAGTACAAATAAGCTCCATCCTATCCCGAGGGTTACTTGAACTCCTCCCATAGAAATAGAGAAAACGCCCTAGTGATATGCAGAACCCCTCCTACCTAGCAAACCCCTCCAGTGAAGGTTCCAAGACCCCTGCCTGTATAGAACTCCCAAAAACAAAATATCGCTCATGTGCCCCAATATCAAATGCTAAATCGACAAAAAACTCCTCCATAATGTAACTCAACCTTAATACAGAAATTTTCCACCGTTCGTAAAAGTCTAGCGTGGTGGGCACTTTGTCAAGCTTCTTCAGAATCGTGCTTTTTCTAATCCTCCTACTTCATTCGATCGAAAGACTGGAACCTCGAGGTGAATAGTTGCAAGGACCCCTCAAAACCACGACGCGCCAACCCCCACAACAACGAGCTATCCTTGAATTTTCACTCAGCGGCGTCGGACATGCTCCCCATATGTTTCCTTCTCCGAATGATGGTGACCCTGACGTCCCGAAGTGACGTGATCCTTTCGCTGTGCCCACCACGCTTCCTCGCCGGCGCTGGCGCTGGAGCGAGAGCGCTTGCGTGCTCCATCCTCGCTGGCGGGGAGGGCTGGTAGGGTTTTGGACTCAACGAATTGGACTCGGCGGGGGAGAGAGGGCAGTGGCTTCTCGGAGATGGTGTGGTTTTGGTATTGGGTGATGTAGTCGTCGCTGCAGCTGCTGTAGCCAGATTTTGAGGAACAGAAGGAGGATGTGGAGACGGAGGAGGAGGAGCGGCTTTTGCGGTTACGGCGGGCTTCGTAGTCACGCTTCTCATCGAAGGACATGTATGAGGTGGTAGAGGTCATGGTGAGAGTGAGAGGGGGAGGGGTGATTGATGGTATTTATGAGAAAGAGGTAGAGTGAGTGTGGAGTAGAGAGAGTGGAGAGAGAGATGATTCTGCGTTAAAGGGAATGCGTGATTGGAAGAGAGATATCTTGAGGCAAGAAGATATGATGATGATGATGTGCGGGAGTGGAGATGGAGATGGAGATGCAGATGCAGATGCAGGGTGGTGAGGATGCAAGACAGATTGGAATCTCACCTACTCTTATAATTCTCACCGACGCCAGCGATTGTTGACCGAATGGTGGTGTGCTCATGGACGAATTAAAAATAGAAGGGGTGTTGCTGTCGAGGGGCCATTGGGGGCTCAGGGAGAGGCATTGTCGGAGATCCCTAACTGACGCCCTAAAGGGCCGAAGGGGCTCAGCTTGGCTTCACACACTACCATTGGGGGCTCCTAAGCGAGTTTCAGCAGGAGGCTTATACATGGTTCATCCTTCACCTCAACCATCACTCGCCAACCTCACGTCCAAAATTCAATTTTATATCCATCACAGTTCTGAGCCCTCACCCTGCCAGATGTTTGGACGAGAGTATTTTGTTTATGTTTGCTTGGAGACGGGCTCGCTGGCTGGCTCGTGTGTCGATGGTCAATCCGAGCTGGGACGTTGGAGAATTCCCAAGAATCGTGCTTGGGTTTGATGCCAGTGACAGCCAGCATTGGGACGATCGAATTGCGGGGATGGTCACTGGGAAAAGCGCCTGGGACAACGAGCGACTCCTGTACGGTATATCTTTGATCGGAACAGACGACGATTGAGTTCCCTTCCCAAAGTAGAAGTATTTTTACAACACCATCACCTTTGCTTGGGTGAGCTTAGTTGAGCGTAAAGAGTTGAACGAGTTTGGGTGTATACTATCCTCGAATACTTCCCTCCCAAAAGGATTGGTTCTAAACTAGTTCTAAACGTCTTGCGTCAGCTTAGCCAAGCCCATCGTGCTACCTACACCTAATATTCCAAGCCTACAAGTACGAAAGATAGTTCAACAACAACCTCCTCTCACCACCGCCCATCAACATCCGACCAAAAATCGCACCTCCCAAACCCCTTCTCCATCCAAACATTCGCCACCTCCACACTACACCAGACTTCCTCCCACCTCTCCTCACCATTCATTCATTCCAATTCAGTTCGAAATACCTCTCTAATAAATCCGGCTCGAAAAAACTCAATCTGTCGGCCATGCCCACGGCCCAGGTTTCCGGGTTGGGTCCCTCCCGCCATCCCATCCCTCTCGCGGTGTAATTTTCGTGGGAAATGCACCGTTATGCCATCCCCTCCCTGCTCCCACCATAGTGTGCTGTCAAAAAAGCTGGGGAGTTTCAGAGGCTTCCAACCTGTCAAATGTCCACCCACATGGAAGGGACGAGACGACACGTGGGTTCCGCACGGTTGCACAGGGCGATACCAGTCCCTCCATGATCAGCGTCGAACTGGATCCAGAGCGACCGTTTGGAATCCTATCCACTTGAGCTTGCAGATAAACTCCTACCAGTACCGAGATATCCAAATTTAGGGGCGTCGGATTTAGACAAACTGGTTACGGTGAAAACGGGGTGGACATATCTATAGTCTGATACAGTACAAGCCCCGACCACTTCTAAATATTCGATCTGAACCTCTCCTCTCCTCTGTAACCGCCGTGACCGTTGATATTTATGGGTTGAACAGCTACCTACCGGTCGTTCGTGCTATTCCAGGTTTGCGTTGACACTGAAGCTGGTTTACCACGTCAGTGCATAATATTCCCTGGCAACGATAGTTACGATACGAAACATCTATATAAACAAAAACTTCTTGTCCAGCAAAGAGATGCTACCTGGCCAACATTGGTAAGATTATCTTGTGACCCGAGAGCTCGTAATACTCTATTTTGTTTCATTCATACTCCCTTCCTGCCGTATTAGCATCATGCTTGCAGTGTAGCTATATGAGAGAGGTGTGTATAGCGCTAGCTGAAGTCTCGACTCTCGAGATGAGTCGTGTCCTAGCAACCAGAACTTTGTAATTACAGATCCTGGGCAACAGTAGGTAACATAGATTCGTGGTGATGTTCTTTACGAGTATTATAGGGTAGGTTAGCTTGCTTGACGAAATCTTGTTAGGCGATCACTCTTTCTTATATTATCTCATTTCAAAACTGCGAGTTCGATACCCAACCGAATTCGGAAATACCCTCGAGAAATGAAAATTCCCATCACAGAGAAGAAAATAGTGCTAGAACCACACGACGTAGACTTTCTTCTTGGGTTTCACGGTTTCATAGATATCCAGTCTCCCTACGACTAGTTCACATCGAGTACTCCCTCTCCTACCCTTTCCATAGTTCTTCACAGACTTTTCACTCCATAGGACCGTAGCTTTCATTTAACTTAACCCTCACCAGCACACCACACCAAACACCCCCCCCAAAAAACAAATCATCACCTCTCGAGTCCTTCAAACCCCACAATCCCACTCCGCATAACCATCATCTCACCCTTCCTCCCTTCCTCCCCTCCCTACCCAAATCAAAGCATAACCACACACTCACTCAATCCTCAATCCCCACCCAGCGCCAAACCACCCGCGAGAAACCAACCACAGAAGCGAATCCAACAGAACTCGTCACTCGTACTGTAGCAAATCAACGAGATAGCCCGTTCTAGTCCTGAGAAGTCCCCCTTTCTATTTCCAAGTGAAATGCACGCGGGTCTGATGATCCGGATTCGTGCCTCATCTCATGTCTCGTCGTTTTGTCGTCTTGTGCTGAGATTCTGGAATCTGGATGCGAGGTTTTGTACTCTTACTCTAATTTTCAATTTTATTTGGAAATTAGGTAAGATTACGGTATTGAGAAAACTGCGTGTTTCTTTTTCACGCGGAGGCTGAGGTATGTAAAGGGTCTGGTCTGGACAGTTCGGATTCCCCCCCCTCCCCCCTTGTCACTTCCTGCTATACCTCCCCATGAATCGGACAATTCAATTGGCTTAGAGGGCTATATTGTGGAGTTATACCCTGCCTACCTATAACTAGTCGCATCCAGGGGAGGGGGCGACGCGAGCTGTCTGGAACCTTTTACTTGGTGGCGGATAGAGGACTCTTGATACAGTAGCAATGGTATACCTTTTTGTGGCACGAGATGGAGTAGAAGACTGGTTGAATAGATTATTAAAATTTTGGAAAGGGTGTATAAGTGTTTAAGCTTGTAAGCTAAATATACTACTGTAGCGCTAACCACAAATCCCAAACATAATTACAATATCCCAACACCTAACGCCTTAAGAATCCCGCTCAAGTTCCTAGTACCATTTTTAAAGCTTTAATCAAGCGACACTTAACCCCCCGTCCAGATACTTCCATAATATCATCTTATCCACCACTCAAACACCCACCTCTCAAACTCCTAACTTTCCAATCCCCCTCATGACATCCTCAGCTACAACCGCGTTACGTCCCACGTCCTAGTCTAAAAACCAAACGAAAAACAAGGAAAAAAAATCTTAAACCACACCTCAAACTCTATCTACCTCCACCTCTCCACCCCTCGACGAAAAAGTGTCAATTGCAAACTCCACACATCTACCTAAGCAAATCCCCCATATCATCACACAAGAAAAGCCCAAAGCAATCCCGAATTCCATCCCTCTACCTTCACAAATTGAAGCTAGGCGGTTTATCAGATATCTCCAAAATGTACTGTACCTTCATCCCCTTCGCTTCACTATATCTAGCTAGCTATCTAAATAACTAAGTAACCAACTAAGTACCTAGCCATACCAACTAATTCACAGACACTTCTAGTCTCCTTAGGACCGCAGAAAACACAACACAGCACTAGGACCTTTTGATTGATTAATATAGTTAGTGGTAGGGAACATATAAATACATACATACACCCACCCCTTTCCCTTTCCCTTTGTCATCTAATCCTTATACTTATACCATAGGTAGGTAAGTAGGTAGAGGACTTATAAACAAATAAATATCCAGCCAGCCAGCTAGTAGCCAGTCAACAAGTCATCTTATAAAAAATCAGAGGCTGAGGCGGCGCTAGCACTTTGCTTTGGTGAGGACTTATTCGTATTCTACACTAGTATATATTTATTCCCTAGCCTCTAGGTAACAACCGACTGAGTCCGACGAACGGCACCGGGCGAGGTTATATAGTATATTATATTACTTACTTAGGTTTATACTCATCCTATCCTATCCCATCCTATCCTATCCCTACAAAATCCAAAAAATCAAGTAAGTAAGTATAGGCACCAAAATCTAGCATCACAACTTCACAAGACAACTAAGATCCTACCTTTCCACTTATTCATCTCATCTCAAGTCCATATCCATATACCCACCCACCCACCTCAATTCATAAAACCCCAAACCCCAAACCCAAAGAAGTAAAGGAGACTAGCTCAGTTCAACCCATCCATCCATATCCTAACAAAATTCAGAATTATAGAATACCTACTCGTAAGATAACGTAGCCGCTCAGCGGTGTTAACATAGGTAAGTCTTACGAGTACGAGTAAGTTGAAGTAGCGTGAGTAGGTAATGACCACTTCCATTCTCATACACACGAAAGAAAGAGCGTACGTAAACAGGAGAACCAGACAAAAAAAACATGTACAAGTACTGATACAACAAATATCAAGAAAGAAAAAAAAAGGTATGTATTTTCATTGCCACACCCCCCGAAATTTCCGCCGGAGATCAAGGATCACGTACGTTCTCTATCACTCAAATCTATCCTCAATCCCAACCCCAAACCCCAAAACGACCATGTTTCCCACTCACCCTAAAGAGCAAGAAAAGTGATTTTCCCCAACGCCATACATGCATGCCATGCATGCAATTTTCCCAATTGAGATTTCAAATCCCTCGAATACTAGAAAACCACTTTTATACATCCTCAAATTCCATATCCTCCTCACTCTCCGCTTCATCCTTAGGCGCGACGGGTTCCTCAATGCGAACCTTCTTAGGTGGCCGACTGTCTTCATTCGAGGGGGTGTTAGGTCCTGTCGCTGGGCTAGTTAGTCGTGTACTACTTCCACTTCCCGAAGCACTACTCCATTTACGCTTCATCGCGCTCGCGATGTGAGGTTGAGTGCCGGAGCCAGAAACTTTACCTTCGACGTTAAGTGAACTGGCTGGTGTAGCGGTGTTGGAAGCGGGTGGAACGACATCCTCGAATTCCTCTTCTTCATCGTCCTCATCATCCGTCTCATATTCGTCGTTCTGATCCTTGGCGGCTTCTTCATCTTGCTCGGCCTTGAGTCTTGCAAAGTAATCATCGATTTCGGCGTTCTGGCCATTGGTTGTGGCTTCATCTGTAGCAACATTCTTTTTGTCATCCACAGAATGCGATGTTGGCAAAGTAGAATTTTGATCAAACTTGACCTGCTCGCCACTAATAGTACTGTGTGTGAAATGCACCGGAAGTGCGTTTTGGGCAGCGTTTTTCTGCTTGCGGTCCTTTTCAGCTGCAATATCGGCATCTGTTGGACCTTCGGACTTGGTAAGGGTGACTAAAAGTGAAGCTGGAGCCACATTTACCATGCCCTTGACAGCTGTTGGTCTTTCGGTCGCAGCATCCAAAGGTGCCGTCTCGCTTGCAGGATTTGTGACATCTCTATTGACCTTTCTCGCCGACTCCAATGCTTTTTCAAAAGTGCTTTCGGGTACTGGAACGGAATCGATTTTTGGAAGGAGGTCCGTGATGAACTTGAATTGTGCATTCAGTCTCGTAGACTGCTCATGACCACCACGTTCCTCGCCCACTATCGGTACCACAACGTATTCGCATTTATCGCACAATAAACCCTCATTGCTGAACTTATGCATCAACTCCAATGCTGTCCACTCCGATTTGCATCTGTTGCAACGATACTCTTTTATCTCACTTTGAGGGACCGTGTTTCCTTGGACCTGCTTGTCGATGAGATATACGCGCCATTTGATCGCATCAATGGTCGCGCGGTAGTCGATGTAATAGTATGTTCTGTTCATTGGGCGTTGTTGACCTTCCTTGATTTCTTGACGAGTATGACTATGTAGAGGGTTAGTTGGGTGGAAAAGCTGCGTAGTATATATGAGTAGCATACACCGCCAGAAAGCGTTCCTCCATCAATTTACCACATAGCTTGTGAAGCTCCTTTGTATTGATTCCCATTAGATATGCCAAATCATCGTCGCGTAACCTGTGGATGTTGTTAACTTTCCCTGTCAGAGAAGAAAACAGGCCTAGGAACTGTTTTCAAAACGCTAATAAAAAGACATACGCAGAGTGTAGAATCAGCGCATCCACAACCAGAATATGTTTCGTATCGTGAAAGGCTCGTACGCAGGAGCGCACAAGCTGCTGAGCGAGATCCATGAGGTAATGCGATCGGTCAAGCAACTAGTTGGAGGTTACGCAGAGGGCGAGTGTCGCAAGTCAAGCGCAAGTTGCGAGATGCGCGCAAGTTCAGGAATACTGATTCGTAGAGTAGGTACACGCAAATGTGAGGGAGAGTAGAGGATTTGGAGAGGGCGACAGAAAGGCTGGATGCGAGATCTGTTTGCGATGTGGGATGTTGGTATGAAAGGACGAGGAAAAAGGTCAGAGGACGGTTGACATGCCCATAATTTGACTAAAGACCACGGAGCCGCTGCGCAGCGCTAGCCCTTCAACAATAATTAGGTGAAGTTGTTATTGTGACAGTGACAGTGACAGGGACAGTCGGACTGGCGCTACCAGATGAGCGAGCTGGACAACAATACAAGGCGGCATTCACTACAGAGCACAATGGCAATCTGTGATACGCAGTTCTGCCTTCTCAGTACAGGTGCGGGTACAGCAGAGCCTCAACTGCAGCTGCAGCTCTAGCCGCAGCCCTGGCAAGGCGACAAGGATTATCCAGACGCTAGTGAAGCTCCCCGCCAACACTAATCTCCACTTTGGGTAATGGCCTCAAAATTCAAAGTTGAAGGCTGCATATCACCACTTTTTTTAATAGATGTCATGAAAGCCATTCAACATCTCTCAAGATGGCAGATAACCCTACTACAACTGCGCCCGCGAAAAACGATGGGGATCGGTCATCGCGCAGCGACCGCAATTCCAATTCGCACAATTCACGTCCAAGAGGTCAGCGAGGTGGAAGATCGCAAGGTGGTCGTGGTGGACGAGGGGGGCAAGGTCGAGGCGGTGGTGGGAGGGGTAGAGGAGGTGGATTCGGCGCAAACAACAACTCGGGCGGTCGCAAAAAGGACATGGGCCGTGGAGCATACAAGTTGGTTCCTCTCTGATGTGTGATCAGTCCGTATCTAACTAAACAAGTCGTAATGGTGTAGATAGACGAAAGCGCAACGAGGACGGAAAAGAGAAACCCGAGTCCAATGAATATGCGGCCACCACATTTACAAAAGAGGAGATAGAAGCTGAAGGCCGGAAACCGAAGAAGAAGGTCGCTGTCTTGATTGGATATGCTGGATCTGGTTACAAGGGAATGCAAATCAATGGATCAGAAAAGACCATTGAGGGAGACATTTTCAAGGCATTTGTAGCCGCAGGTGCCATTTCAAAGGCGAATGCAGACGATCCCAAGAAGTCTACTTTGGTCAGATGCGCTCGAACGGATAAAGGTGTACATGCGGCTGGCAACGTCATATCCTTAAAGCTTATTGTTGAAGAGCCAAACATCGTCCAGAAGATCAACGAGCATCTACCTCCTCAGATCAGAATATGGGGGATGGAACGAACGAATGGTTCATTTAGTTGCTACCAAAGCTGCGACTCGAGATGGTATGAGTACCTAATTCCGACGTACTCTTTTCTTCCACCGCACCCAAAGAGTTTCCTAGGTCAAAAGTTGGCCGGATCAGCAGAGAAAAAGGGTGTTCTTGAACAATGGAAGTCTCGAATGGAGGATGTATCTGACTTTTGGGAAAAAGCCGAAGAGACTTATGTCAAACCAATTCTTGACGAGTATGATGCTGACATGCAAGAAGCAATTATGACTGCTATCCATACGACCGAAGACCTAAGCTTGGAAGAGACTGAGAAGATAAAGGGTAAAGCAGGTAAGGAGTATTTGAAAAAGGTTAGGTCCGCCGAAAAGCAAGGATCCGGTGTTGTTGAGAGTTCTCCACCAAAAGAGCTAGTCGCAGTGAATGTTGAAGAGCAGGATCAAGAGAAGACTGTCTTGGGTAAACGGGCCGCCTCGGTCAAGAATGAGGGTGAGGATGCAGAAGGCGCTAAACGTCTGAAAAGCACCCAACATCCTTCACAGGATGAACCTGTCCTAATGGAAGTTGATGAAGTAACCCAAGAGATCAAGGAAGAAATCAAAGAAGAGACCACGACGGAGACCAAGGAGGAGTCCCAAACCACAGAAAACGCCGTCGAGATAAAACCCGAAGATGCCACCACCGAGAAATCCACAAAATCCATCCTCTCTCCCCTCGACGTTGCCATCAAAAGAGTCAAAGCCGCCTACATAGTCGCCAAAAAAGCATATCGCATCTCCCCGGGCCGCAAAAGCAAAGTCCAAGAGACCCTAAACTGCTACGTCGGAACGCGCAACTTCCACAACTACACCATCCAAAAATCCTTCTCCGACCCCTCCGCCAAGCGTGTCATCCGGTCTTTCAAGGTCGGACCTGAACCCGTCTACATCAACGACACGGAATGGCTCTCATTAAAGGTCCACGGACAGAGTTTCATGATGCATCAGATCCGAAAGATGATAGCTATGGCAGCGCTGATTGTCCGATGTGGCTCCACCACCAATATCATCCAAGAAAGTTATACCTCCGCCACGATCAGTATTCCCAAAGCTCCCGGCTTGGGGTTGTTACTTGAAAGACCCGTTTTCGACACGTATAACACGCAAGCGGTGGAGAAATTCCAGAGAGAAAAGATCGATTTCGATAAATTCAAGACGGAGATGGAGGAGTTCAAACAGCGAGAGATTTACGATAGGATCTTCCGAGAGGAGGAGAGAGATCACCAGTTTGTCTTCCTTTCCCTACCCCACCTAACGCTTCTCTCGTACTATCACACCCCGAAAAACCACTTTCACTAACGAAACCTAGATTCCATACCTTCTTCCACCATCTCGATCACTACCGCACGGATTTCTTCCTCTGGGTCACGGCCGAGGGTGTCGTGGCCGCGAGACAGAGTATCGCACGTAGTGAGGTGTTGAATGATGACGATGATGATGGTGAGGATGAGCGGCCGGATGCAAATGGGCAAGATGGTTGAGTTGAGTGGGAATTCTTTTTATTAAGTACCTAGACATGGTAGTACCGTAGCAGCCTAGTTGATAGCAAACTGATGTACATACAATGTATACTTTTCCTGAATACGTGACCCGGAAATATATACGCGAGTTCTATGTTTGCGTGATGGTAGGTGTGGTAGAAGGGATACTTTCTTTTCCGCTTGATTCACATACAGCGAGGAAAGTGAAGGGGTTGTTCTGGAAGTTCTCGTGTCCTGGTCTCGCACTTGGAAAGTACAATGACATTGTTTACTAAATTCCAGATCTTGGGTATCAGTACATTTTCTGACCCACGCATCCTCACCTCAACCTCCCAAGGTCGATAAAATCGATCTCGATCGACATACTCTTAACGCCTAAATGTCGAATCTTGACATCCCATCCCATTCCAAACACGCCAAACTCCACGATCAAAATCCGAACCAGTACTTTTTCTCCTCCCATCTTCTTCCCAACCCATCTCTCGTCACAGAATTTCCCAGATCCAACCCACCCACATCACGAAATATGCCAACCCGCAGAAATCGGAATCCAATCAAGCACCCAACTTCGACTCCCCACCCTCAATATCCTTCCGCAAGATACTTTCCAACATCCCTCCCACCTTCACTGAATCCTCATCCATCTTCCCCTCTCCCTCTCCTTCTCCAATCCCGCGTAGTGGTCCAAAAAGCCACAGTTCCTTCAGTTCGCGCGTGAGTTTTAGGAGGTCCTCGGCGGCTTTGACCTATACATCCATAATTAGCACTCTCCCTTTCCTTCCCTCCCACAATCTTCCACAATCTTCACAACCTCCTCGGGGAAAAACATACCAAAGCCCTCCCCTCAGCCTCCATACTAAACCCCACACTCGCCGCCCCCTCCCTCGCCGCCTTACTACCCTTATCTGAGGCATCCATCGGCACCGCACTGATGATCGCGCGGTAGCGCGTCAGCATCTCGGCGATCCCGCGTTGTTCGCGGTCTTGGTAGAAGGTTGTGTTAGCTTGGATGGGACGCGTGTAGGAGGGGTCATCGGTGGGGTCCGCGGAGGGGGGTTGCGGGGTGAGTGGTCGTGTTGGGGGGGTGAGGTGGTGGATGGATTGTGAGGAGAGGGAGGGGAGGAGGGGGATGAGGATGGGGGAGAGGTTGGGGGGTTTGCGGCGGGAGGGGGCCATTGTTTGGTGTAGGTGGGTTGTTTTTTGGTGAGTGGTGGTGTTGCGTCTATGGATAGATGACCGTGGTGACGAGTTTGGGTTCGTGATGATGGTGTTGGCGTGGTGGTATGGTGTGGAAGAAGGTGCGATGGAGGGGGAAATGAAGAGAGAGGAAATGGAGGTGCTTACCCATTAGGCCGCTGGTAGTGACCTCATTTGCGTCCATGGCAGGCGAAAGCCCGTGAATAAAAATATATATGAGGATGCTAAGTGAAGATGTTTGGTGAATGGGAAGTATACAAAGTGAAGCAAAGGAGGAAGTGACGATGGAGCTTCAGAGCTTGATGAACCCCTGTCGGAAGCTAACCCCTCCATAGGTACCCGCACCCAGCTAAATTCCCATTGGCTGCGACTACCCCTCCATGACCCATGAACAGCTTACCCCATCCCCGTCTCAAGTTTCCTACTTCCAGGAAGTACTCAAGTCCTCTAATCAACAATACTGAACACACCAAACAACCCCCTCAAAAATCCAAGATGCAGTCCGGAATATCAGGTAAATACTTCATACTCCTCCCAATAAAACCTCTGTCGAACACCCCCCAGCCTCCAAAGATCTCCACACAGCCTTCCAAACCCTCGTCTCGACAGAATCCCAACGAGGCCTCCTCATAACCATAGAAAAAGAAGCCATCATCCCCCTAACCACCATCCCCTCCTCCCCCTCCTTCACATCCGACCTCTCCCACCTCGTCCCCCACCTCACCCCCAAAAGTGCCCTGTACATAATCCTCCGACGCTACGAATCCAGCTCCCCCGCTCCCTTCATCGCCATAACCTACGTCCCAGACGCCGCTCCCGTGCGGCAGAAGATGCTCTTCGCATCCACGCGTCTGACGCTCGTTCGCGAGCTGGGGATCGAACGGTTCCGCGAGACGATAGCTTGTACGCGCGAGGAGGAGCTGAGTGAGGAGGGGTTTAAGAAGCATGATAAGCATAATGCGCTGGCGGCGCCGTTGACGGAGGAGGAGGTGAGTCTGGGGGAGGTGAAGAGGGCGGAGGCGGAGGAGGGGAGGGGAATGGCGGAGAGGAAGAGCCATGTGAGTAGTGGGGTGAATATGGCGATTAATGAGGAGGCTCTGTCGGCGTTGAAGGCGTTGGCGAGTGGGGAGGGGGAAGAGGATAATTTGGTGCAGATAGTACGTTTCTCTTTTCCATTCCCTTTTCTTTTTTCTCTCTTCAATTTCATTTGTTTCGGGATGTATAAAAAAGAGAAATTCCAACGAAATCAGCAAATCAACATCCCAACCGAAACAATGGAACTCGCCTCCACATCCTCAACACCTATCTCCGCCCTCCCAACCACCATCTCCCCCACCGCCCCCCGCTTCTCCTTCTACCGCTTCACCCACCAACACAACGGCGAAACCGTCTTCCCCATCCTCTTCATCTACACCTGTCCCTCGGGCTCCAAGATCAAGGAACGCATGCTATACGCAGCATCCTCGCGCTCCGCCGTCCAAGTCGCCGAAGCCGAGGCCGGATTGAAAATCGAGAAGCGCGTTGAGGCTGGGAGTCCGGAAGATGTGGATGAGGAGAGTATATTGGGGGATTTACATCCGAAGGTTGAGGTGAAGAAGGCTTTTGAACGGCCGAAGAGGCCGGGAAGGAAATGAGGTGTTTAGATGATGGGTGGTATGAGGTTATGGGGTTGTGAAAAGTTTGATTTTGGGACGTGAAATAAGTAGATAGATTTGGTTTTTTGAAGTGGAAGTTGTAGGAATGGACTGAACTTTTCATCTTGGTTCTGGCAGGTCTAGAAATCTTTGGGTAGAGAAGACAGGTTCCTCACATCCTACCTATCTCTAATACTTTCCCCTTTCTAATATCCCCTCCATTACCAATAAATCAAGGATTCAAGCATATAAGGAATTCTTTAATGGTAAGAGTAAATATATTCCCCCGCAGCAGTATGTGTCTAAATGCAGGCATTCGTTCTACTATGTTCTCCTATCATATCCTATCCCATCCTATCCTATATACAATCCCAACAATCCAATGCAATGCAAACCCAGCATATCTCGCAACTCAAAACTGTATTGTCGATTTGGTAATCCAATCCAATCCATAGATTCGAAAAACCCAAAAAGGGAAAAAAAAAAGCTTCCTTCGCCTCCCTTACCGCGAAGAAGATACCAATTCCCATCCCATCCCATCCCCCTCATACCCACCCTCCGCCAGAGAAAAAGGTGAAAAGAGTATCGTACTTCTCACACCCCTCACCCTTCTCACCCCACACACCCACCACACAAACAATATCATACCATACCATCACATATCCCAACAACAAACCCTACCCACCTACTCCTCAAACTCCCCACTCAAAAACGGGTTGGTTTTCCTCTCCAGTTTCTCTTTCAGGAACTCGTAGACCGTGAAGGTGACTGCTTGACCGGGGGCGACGCGGATGACGCGGGGGGTGATGCCTTTGTAGAAGGCGTGGAAACCTTCTTGTCTGTGGGATGGATGTGTTAGGTTGCTTGTTTTTTAAATTTTGGTTTGAGGGTTTGGGGGATGAGGGTGGGAGAGGGAGAGGGGATGAGGGGGGTGATGGAAGGGGGATCTTGGGATACTGGGATTTGGTTGTGATGTTTTGGTTGAGGGAAGAGAAGAGGTTTTAAGGTGATAGAGGGAATGAAGAGGAAAGCTGGAAGCGCAAATAGAAGAGTAGAGAACGGGAGATAGGGAGAAAGACGCACTTAAACATATCCCTGCTAATCGACAACATCCTCCCCAACGCCGTCTCACCCGGCCCCTTGGGCGTCTTCTGCAACCTCGTCTTCAGCGTATCAATCGGCGCATTACTCAGAGGTCCCATCGCCCCGGAGACCAATCCAATAACCGTCGTCTGATAACCCGGTAAAGTCGCCGCGGGATCCAGATCCTGATATTTCTGCAGCCAGGTCTTGAAGTAGCTGTATGCTGTGAAGTTGACTGCTTGGTTAGAACCTTGTCGGAGGGCGGTTAGCGAGACTCCTCGGTATAGGGCGAGGAAGCCTTCTTCTTTGACGACGGTGTAGAGGGCGTGGGCGGCGTTGCGATATTTGGGGATGTCGAGCGGGTCAGCCATGGAGTGGTGTTGGGCTTGCAGTCGGATTTTGATGACTTCCATGGGGGTTACTACTGCGACTGCTTCGGTTACTCCGGCTGCTAGACCGGCTGTGGTTTGGTCGATTAGCATTTCTCTTCAGTTATATTGAATCACTCCTTCCTTCCTTAACCATCCCCTTTTTAAACTCCGTGAAAGAGTATAGAAAAACATACCAAGAAATGTCCCCTTCCCACTCACAATCCCCGTCTGTTTGTCCGCCAACATCCTCTTGTAAGCCTCGAAACTGGTAAACCGTATCGCCATTTTGGGTACGATACCGGTTAGTACGGCGCCGAGTCCTTTGTATAGTGCTAAGGGTGTTTCTTTGCGTGCGATTTCCATGCCGGTTTTTACGAAGCCGCGTTTAGGGGCGTTTTTGGAACGGGCGCGCGTGGAGAGTTGCATGCGCACTTTGATGGTGTCTTTGCATCTTTTGATTAGTTTCGAGTAGGAGGGAAAAGGAGAGAGGAAATGGGAGAATGAAATAGAGGAGACAGACCTAGAGGATGACATGCGAGGGCTTCCATCATGCCTGCTGCTCCTCCGGCTGGAGATGAGTTAGTTGGTGTGTGTATATTCTGGATCATAGAGAAATACCGATCAAATTCGTTGCAGCAGAAGTTGGCTTCTTGCCATTTACGCCGCCGACTTTGGTAGCCATCTTGGAGATGGATTGGATCTCTGCGCCTGGCTGAAAGTAGTAACCAACACTTGTCCTTCTCTTCTCACACCACGTTCCAATGCCCGGTGAAATGGATACAATTCGACGTAAGGGTATATGACAGGAATGTGCAAGATGTACAAGTAACAACCACAACCGAGATCAATCAATGTATTGTAGAGAAAGCAAGAATATGTGAGAGAGAGAGAGAAAAGTGTCCAAGCAGAAATAAAAGTCAATGTCAGCTACCGGTGGCAGTGTTCACTTAATGAGTGACTGACTCCCGTCCCACTTGGGACGTACTCATACGGTACTGTAGCTAACCCCGCGGTCCAATGCATCGGAAGAGGGCAACATTCCTCTCGTCCCTTATGCCCATCTTGGCAAGGGGGTGGGTAGGTCATGGCCCTGTGGGCGGTGTCCTTTCAGCTGGGAGACACCCCGATGGTACCTACCAAGACTAAGTAAAAAATAGAATAGCACATGCTGAGAAGCCATGACCGATACCGATGCCGATGCCTATGCTATGCCTCTCTACCAGCACTCCGGACATATGGAGCGGCAGCGGCTCTTCGCACACCTGACGAGCTGGAGAGCGCGTTTGAGGAAGCACCCGATGTCGGGAATTCAAGAAGATCCAGAGAAACTGCAGTTGTGCAGGTTGGCGCTTGCTGGGAGTATGGATGTTCCGATGCCGTTTTCTTTCATGTGCTTGCTTCCATTGATGCTTGAGCACGCACATACCTTTCCTTGAGCTGCGATTCTGTAACAGTACGAGTAGTACGAGTAGTGACGTTGTTCCTTGGTCCGCTTCACGCCTCTTATTTTTGGCTTGTGATTTTGCGGGGAAACCGCGCAGGGGCACATCCCGGCCGCCCGAATGCCCGAATCAGATAATTATCGACCTCGGCTGCTGGGTAAACTCACTTACGACTCAGTCACGTTTTAGCCTTTCCATTATGATTATCACGAGGACATCTGATAAAAGGCTTTTGATGTCACTGGGTTTCGGGAAAAAATGTAGAGAAGAACTGGTGGAGATCTGAGGCTCTGAGGCTCTGAGGCTCTGGTGGGGAGCTGGTTACTGAGGTGCCAAGATATGATTACATAATCAATGTGACAGATTTTGCCTTCATCATTGAGACATCCTTTATCAATTCACCAGCACCAGAAAGCAATGAAGAATGAAGAGCTCAGAAACGCCAAGGTCCACGCAGGATGAACGTTGAAGACAAGAAAGAACTTCAGGTTGCGAGGGGTTCTGATTTCTATTCCCATCCAAGAGCGCGTCTTTTGCAACATCCGAATATGAAGTACTTTTGGAAGACTCCTCAAAATGGCTCTACGGTTCCCTCATATCTACCTTTTGAAAGTTGGCTTTGAACGAAGATTGGAAGAACTTCGTGATTTGGAGAAGAAGATTGATGTCGTTTTTGATATTACAGAAGCTCAATTGGTTCTTGGAAAACTGAAGAGTGATCGTCGTGCAGAAAGCGACCTTCGTCACTTAGGGTTGAAGACAGAAAATGTGGTCAACAATGACAACCAAATCACATCTCACGCTCGAAAACGGAGGAAAGTGACGAAGAATGGTGATGACAAAGATGTCATCAATCTGGATTCGAAAACCGAGAGCGAACATCCCGATTCAGTCTCCATTGCGCAACTTCCTACAGCTTCGAAGATTGGGAATACTATCAAAGTCCTGCGACTCGCTTGGTATATCGACTCAGTCGAATCAGGAGAGCTGCTTCCGATGAATGATTATCTGGTTTACGAGGGGAAAATCACCGAAATCCAGAAACCTCCCAAGGTCTCACCGATTGAAAGAAAACAAGACTCTCCGGCAGAGATCCTCGCTCGTGCAAAGGCTGATGAACCTTCATCTCCCCCGAAGACTTTCCATCGACAAAAAAGAGGGGTCGCAGAAACGAAAACTCGCCCATCTCAACCACATTTGTTGCAGGAGACAACAGAGGATCACGAATATGCGGCCAATATGCCTCCCTTACCGGAGTATATGAAGGCCAGATATTGTTGCCAACGCCCCTGCTTTTCTCAAACTCCAAACGATGCCTTTATTGCTCAATTGAGAATAATCGGCAAAGCTCGTACATTGGCAGGCGAGGCAGAGGTAGGCCACGCGCATGCCCCGAAAGCATACAATGCCGCCGTCGCAGCACTCGCATCTTATCCACATCCCTTGAAATCGTATCAAGAAGTTCTCAGAATTCCAGGATGTGGTCCTACCATGGCACGGTTATTTCAAGAGTGGGAGGAAACCGGCAGCATCCAACAAGTCGAGGAGTTTGAAAATGATGAACGATTTCGTGCGCTTGACATCTTTAGCGGAATCTTTGATGTGGGTCCAGAGGTAGCAAAACGCTTCTACAGCAAGGGATGGCGAGATTTAGATGATGTCGTGAATTTTGGATGGAAATCTTTAACGAAAGAACAACAAAAAGGCGTCAAATTCTACGATGAGTTCGCAGAGCGCATTCCCAGAACTGAAGTAGAGGAACTCGCAAACCACGTCTTGGATCACGCGAACAAAATCCACCCGGGCTGGCAAATGGCCATCTGCGGTGGTTACCGACGAGGAAAATCAGATTCCGGGGATGTAGATGTTATCTTAAGTCACCCGGATGAGAGCGTCACGAATTTCTTCCTGGATGAGAAATTACTGCATAGTTTAGAAGCCGACGGCAGTGTTACACACACTTTACGACTGTCTACACGGACTAGCGAGAGGGGTCAAGAAACTCTACCTCCCAGGAACTCAAGGACTGGTGGGCGCGGCTTCGATACTCTCGACCACGCATTCGTCGTCATGCAGAAGCCTACTTGGCCTACTCAAACCGAGGATCTCGCCCTCAACCCTGAAGCCAAAAACCCCAATACTCATCGCAGAGTAGATCTCATTGTCTCGCCATGGAAGACAGCCGGCTGTGCGGTCATGGGATGGACGGGAGGAACGATGTTCGAAAGGGACTTGAGGAAATATACCCGGGACGAACTGGGGTGGAAGTTTGATAGCAGTGGTATCCGCGACTTGAAGACTGGTTCTTGGATTAACTTGGAAGAAGGGGGAGAGGATATGTTGGCTAAGGAGAAATTGGTGTTTCAGGGGTTGAAGTTGGAGTGGAGAGAGCCGACGGAAAGATGTACTGATTAAGTAGCTATTTCTGAGAAGGATTCATCGGGTTTCCAACGTTGCTGGAACAAAAGAATGCGATGATGACTTGTTGATGGGAAAGTTGCAGTGATGATACAAACTTTGATTTGCGTAAGGTTTTGAAGTAACTACTTTATTCAATTACTCTAACCTTCTTGAGTAACGAGAATTGCCAAATACGGTAACTCACTCTTGTCTCCATTTTGTTGTTGTATAGATATTTCGTCCAATCAGTTGCGCCGTCGCAGGGACCTTAACGCCGAGACATTGAACGTAAAGCCGATCGATCATATCCCATCTCAGCCTTGCCCTCCTACGACATTTCTATTCCTACGAGGCTGCGATATGATATGATGCACTTTCGACCGCCAATATGGATGACGGAGCTCGCTCTGCAAGAAATGAGCTATTTCAAATCGTAAGCACAATTTCATTCTCGACAGCCAAGAAGCCATTCTAACAGATCTACCAGCTCAAGCCTTGCTGCGTCGAACTCAGCCAACTCGCGCTCAGAGACGATGGCAGCCCAGCAAGTACAAATACCTTGATCAAGCGTACAGACCAGCTCCTTTCAATCCTGCAAACCCATTGCAAAAGAACCGATGGCGCATTCGACGAGAGGTTGGCGGAATACGTCTTTTTCCCCTTGTCGTCGATGCTGAAGAAGAAGAAGAAATATACGGATCGATTGTCGGAACTGATCATGAAATGTTTGAGCATACTCTTGGAATTTGGATGGAGTCGGAATGTGCCCTTGAATTTATCCAAGCAGATTTTGATCTTGCTGCCTTTCGTGGCTGGGGGACCACCGGATCAGCAGCAGAGTATACCAGAAGAAATCGCCGCGGCAGCGTATGGGGCACTTGCTGCGCTTTTTTATGGGTTGGGACATACGGCTGGTGGTGCTGCTGCATTGGTGGAAACCGCGACGGTTCCAGCTCTGGGCCATTGTATGACGGTAATTCTCGAAGGCATCGTGGAAGGAGCATCGGTGGATGTACAACTTGAGGCGTTGAGGGCGTTGCAAGCTGCGTGGAAAAATATCAAAGATGTACAGGCTCTGGCGACATTCCTCCCTGGGACGATATCGGCTCTTACCAAGACACTTATGCCCGGGACTGCATCGCGAAGGGCTCGGAAGACTTTGATTTCTGCGGTGGAAGCTTTACAGCAAGTCCTGACGTCTATATTAAGTGATGTTCGAACGAGGGCCATAAGAATGGAGGACCAGTCGTCCAAGAAGCCCACTGAGAGTAGTAAAGGGCAAAAAGTCTTTACCAAATCTTGGCTCAAGGCATCCACCAGCCAGATCAAGCTCGCCCTCTCCAATGTCATCCGGTTGCGAAAGAACAATGATCCCGATCTTCGTATAGCCCTCAAGAAATTCTGTCTCATCATTTTGGACGAGTGTCACGATACATTATCCGAATCATCTTCCCTGTTAGTGGAAACTAGCATGATTTTGGATGGAGTAGAAAAAGAGCATGATTTCATGAACCGAGGGACAACGCTTACGGATCTTGCTACTATACATCCTGATATTGGCGAGTTGGTTAAAACTATTGCGTATAACTGGGTGACTAGTTTGCCCAGGATAATGCAAGCCAATGATGAGTCGGCCAAGCATGACGCGTTAAATCAACTTCAAAGAGCAAGTTCTCTTTTGAAGGATCTCAATTCGGAATCCACTGTACTAGAAGATGCTCTGGGAAGTTCATTGAGGGATAGTATTACTGTTACCCTTGAGTCCTCGCGATCCCCCATAGGGGTAGAGGAGACAGGATTTGACTTGAATAGTCAAGCTGCGATGACTCTGGTTACAGAAAATTCTCACTCCACTGAATTTTCACCCTTAATCATGGGCGAAGAAAGCCAGAAGATGACTAGAAATAGTTTGTCACAGTTGGTCGCTAATCTCGGAACACGAGAAACACAAATCAAAATAGCCGGCGAGATGCTCGAGTACGTTCGTGGTGCAACTGGCCCAAGTTTGCTTTCTGCGTACTGGCTGTCATTTCAAATCTTGAAGTCGGCTTCTTCTCAGAATGCAGATATTGATGAGTTTTTCGATTCTGCTCTCACCTTGTCTGATGAACAAGAGGCAATGAGCGAAGAGTTGATGTCTTACTCTCAATCAATACTCACGAGTAACGATGAAGAACAATATGATTGGCGTATGCAAGCTACTGCGTTGGAAGTCGTAGCTGAAAGAGCCATGCGTTTGAAAGAAGACTTTCGTCCAGAACTCATTGATACACTATATCCAATCGCGCAACTTCTCGGGTCACCTAATGATAGGTTGAGAGAGCATGCAATAACCTGCATCAATATCATATCAAAGTCATGTGGTTACGCCAGTGCAAGCGATTTAATTGTTGATAATGTGGATTATATGGTGAACGCCATCTCACTACGACTGAATACATTTGACATTTCTCCTCAAGCGCCACAGGTGCTTGTTATGATGCTCCGCTTAGCAGGTCCTTCATTACTTCTGTACCTTGATGATGTGGTCGGATCGATATTCGCTGCTCTGGATAACTTTCATGGATATCAAAATCTCGTTGATGTGCTCTTCTCGGTGCTCGATGAAATTGTCAAAATAGGAGCAAACTCCAACCAATTACAAATCTCGAACACGCCTGCTGAAAGCCACACAAAAGACAAGCCTTCAGTGCTTACGATATCGGACATTGTCACTATGTTAACCAAAAACTCCAATTCCGACTCAGAACCCCTCTCTCACGAAGACGTACCTCAAAAACCATGGAAATCAGCATCAACACTCCTTGATGAAATAGAAGCACGCAACAAGCCCCCTTCCGATTCGGACTCTGAAAACGAAGAAGAGGAATCCCCTCCACCACCGCAAGAAATCGCCGCTCCACCTCCAACAAAACCCTACACCCTACTCACCAACATCACCACTCTTTCTCAACACTACCTCACATCCCCCTCCCCCCACCTCCGCACCAAACTCCTCACCCTAATCGCCACCGCCGCCCCCTCCCTCTCCCCCAC